GGTAAAAAGCACCCTGTTCAAATTTGCTGATGACACTAAGATGTGGGGGGGATGTGGGCATGTTAGAAGGAAGGAATAGGCTACAATCGGACCTAGATAGGTTACAGGGGTGGGCGGACGAGAATAGGATGGGAATCAACACTGACACATGCAAAGTGATGCACCTGGGGAGGAAGAACCAGCACCATACCTACAGGCTGGGGAACTCCCTTCTCCTCAGTCCAGAGGCAGAAAAGTATCTTGGAGTCATCACTGATGCCAAGATGAATACGGGCCGGAAGTGTGGGGATGCAGTCAGGAAGGCCAACCGCACCTTGTCAGAGGGGCTAGGATCTGGAACCAACTTCCAAGCGAAGTGGTGCTGGCTCCTACCCTGGGGGTCTTTAAGACAAGGCTTGACAATTACCTTGCTGGGATTGTTTGACCCCAGTACTCTTTTCTGCCATGGCAGGGGGTCGGAGTTGATGATCTGCTCAGATCCCTTCCAACCCTACAAACTATGAAACTATGAAACTTTGAAATCAAAAGCCACATACAAATCTCTCAGCCTCTAAATCAGATGTCAATCAAGGAACTTGATTAAGCTGTGTGCAGTAAATTGGTCTTTGATTAACGGAGACCACATCTATGCAATAACCTGAGCAGCCAGACATCACTATATGATGCACTGACATTATCTTAAGTTCACTTTAATGCATAAATAATACGATATAGGTTTTACAGGTATAGACAGGAGACTACACAGGGGCAAGTGTTCCTTACCAGCTTGGGCAGGCTCCTTCGGGAAAAGACTCTACGAGGACAGCGGAGGTGAAGATGAGCAGAGCACCAGCTCCTCATGTTGAGCCATTCCACAGTTCGGCAAGGAAGGGGACCATCCTCCTTGTGGAGCAGGATCAACTGCTTCTGGGCTCGAACTGCTGTGTTCTCCAGCATCCTTTCCAGCTGAAGTATACCACAGACACACACAGTAAGGATATCAATTCTCTGTTATTACAGACAGCTGAATAAACTTGCACCACCTCTGCTCCTCTCCTCCTTACCATCTTCCTGTATCTCCAAATAAATTTTGAAATGTGCACACTAAAAACCATCGTACAAGGGTAATTCAGGCAAATATGTTCATGTTTTTGGATTTATAGGACTACTCCCAACAACAGCAGGTAGCTAATTTTTCCCTACTTTGAGCTCAGCAATCAGATCTTTTTACACATAATAAGGTAAAAGTCTTTGCAACTCTGAATTAGCAGGGACATATACAGAATAGTTTTATTAAACAAGGTGGACGTTTTATTCATATAGTGCTGAATGTAAACCTAAACATGCAGTGAATCAACATACAATGCTTGTGTAACATGAAATCTATTTCCTATTTCAAATCAAGTTTACAAATGCTTAACGCTGCTTCTTATGGGATTTCCAGCATGTTTTAAATTAGGTTGGGAATTTTTTTTCTTTTTCCTGTTATCTGACTGATGGCAACATAACGTATGTCACTACTAACCTCTATGCACCTACTTATTTCAAGGCAGAGGCAAGCCAAAGGAGTGACATACAAAAGAACTGCAGAGGGTCACATTTTTCAGGCTCCCTGGAGCTTCATATATGTTTCTAGGACTCAGAATCCTATCAACCTTAGAAACATCTTTTTAGGAATCATGTCCCAGGCAAAAAGGGACATCAACCGTCAGAACCCGAAATAAAGTAAATGGTGGAACAAAATGCACTTGACAGTGTGTCATAATGCATGAACTCCTCCAAAACAATGCAGTCCCTGTGACTTAACTTGAAGATTTGGCTGAGATAATAAGGAATTCCTTAGAGGAAAACAGCTTTTCAAATTGTGTGTGAAAAGCATTTTCTTACTGTGGTATGAACAGAAGAAATAGCGAAGCAATGTTAAATGGGTTAGAATGCTATTTAGCGCAAGTAAATTCTTAAAAGTTGCAATGAACTGCTTACAAAAGTTTGATTCTGTTATTTTTCAGTCCAAAGTGTAGCAGACCCAGTAAAACTAAACAGTGCAACTTTTGCATAATTTTGGCAAACCCTAGCAAGAAGAGATGAGGGAGAAAAATATTCTGCACCTCTCCAACAGTGGGCTCCTGCTCTCCTAGTCCAACAATTAGGATGCAGTCAGCCTGTCGTATACAGCGCTGGGTCCATGGAGTAAGGGTACTGTCTGCCTGGTAGAGCACAATGCGATGAATATCCTCCTGCTGCCCCAGCCAGCTACTGAGTCGATACTCATGAATACTGGAAGACACAGACACAAAAAAAATTCTTCTCCCCAAAGAGGAAAGTTTTCAGTCTGATGACAGGACAAAATCAAAAAAGGAAGAGGAAATATGGAAGGTTATCAGCAATTTTGAGCATTACATGACATGCTCTGATCACCCTATTTTAAAGAAGCGTTTCTCTTCTTTTTTCCCTATTTTAGACACTGGTTTCCCAACTGTGTGCAGGAGGGTTGGGGAAGGGGGACAGGGGGTGAGGGGGAACCTATTCCTCCATCCACAGCACCATTGGTAAAATCTCAGCTACTCAGGTCCACTGTCACTGTGCTTTGGGAAAACACAACCTGGAAAAAATAAGCCAAAATAAATCTTTTCCTATCCCTCAAACTAAACTCAATTTCACTGTTTTATGTCCCAAAAGATACCAAACAAATCAGATCTACTCTTTCCAACAAAAGCAACAAAGCCAGGACTCCAAACTGGCAGAGCACTAGCATAGCTATGACACTCCCCAGCAGTCCTCTTCTCCAGTCTGCTAACTCTGAGGATGCTTTCAAAGCAACTAAACACTGCAATGCTGGTTCATGGCCACTACCCAAAGTTAACTGTGTTGTTCCCAAGGTGTAATGTGATTTGGCTTTTAGAGTCCCAGACATGATGTTGGGATATAGATTTCATAGATTTTTAAGGTTGGAGGGGACCTCACTAGATCGAGTCCAACCCCCTGCCCTGGGCAGGAAAGAGTGCTGGGGTCAGATGACCCCAGCCAGGTGCTTTTCCAGTCTCCTCTTAAAGACCTCCAGGGTAGGGGAGAGCACCACTTCCCTTGGAAGCCCATTACAGATTCTGGTAACCCTTACCATAAATAAGTTCTTCCTGATATCCAACCCAAATCTACTCTCTGTCAGTTTGTGGCCGTTGTTTCTAGTTACCCCATGGGGCACCCTGGTAAGCAGAGTATTTCCTATTCCTTGCTGCCCCCCTGATGTATTTGTAGATAGCCACAAGATCACCTTTCAGTCTTCTCTTGTGGAGGCTGAAGAGATCCAGGTCCCTTAATCTCTCCTCACAGGACCTTACCTGCAGGCCCCTAACCAAATGAGTAGCCTTCCTCTGGACCCTCTCAAGGTTATCCACATCCTTCTTGAAGTGCAATGCCCAAAACAAGATGCAGTACTTCAGCTGTGGCCTTACCAATGCCACATAGAGGGGAAGTATCACCTCCTTAGACCTGCTCGTGATGCACCTGCTAACGCATAATAGCTTTACTTATCACTTCGTCACATTGACGACTCATGTTCATCTTGGAGTCTACTATGACTCCGAGATCCCTTTCTGCCGCTGTGCTACTTAGAAAGTCATCTCCCAATCTGTATGTGTTGCTGATTCTCTCTCCCAAGGTGCAGCACTTTGCACTTATCTTTGTTAAACTGCATCCTACTCTGTTCTGCCCACTTTTCCAACCTGCCCAAATCTGCCTGAATCCATTCCCTGCCCACCAATGTGTTTCCTTTGCCCCATAATTTGGTGTTGTCTGCAAATTTGGACAGAGTGCTCTCCATGCCCTCCTATAACACTGCCAGAGCAGGGGCAGGCAAAATATGGCCCGCAGGCCAGATCCATCCCACCAAGCATTTTCATCTAGCCCATGGTACCCACCAATATATTGTGCCCATCCCAACCCTTCCACCCATAAGGGTGGAAGTGAGGCACCCATGTGTACACACAGCCCCAAACATACACTGTTGCCTCACTCCCACCCTTGTGAGCAGAAGGGCCTGGCCGGTGTGCAGCTTCCACGCAGGGCTTCTGCTGCTGCAGCCCCTTGGGACTGCAGGGTGGGGCT